TTTTATTTCATTTCATTGTTCTTTTCTCCCCCGTCAGTCATCTTCAAAATGCAACTATATACATGAAAATGCTCAAGTGCCGTCTAAAAGGGGAGAGAGCTACATATTTCCACAGCGACCTGCGTCAGATCAGCTGTTGACATTCAGCTATTCTCAAAGAAACAGAAGGGCAGGGAACAAACCGTTTCACTTTCCTGTTGCTTTACAATGTAGGTGGGAATTCTTTACCAAGTACTCGTTTAAGTTTTTCTCCTTTTATTAATCAAGCACTGTTAAAAAGAGATTATAGTATGTTAATAAAGCTAATATACAGACTGTCCTTAATACCTCAGCTAAGAATAATTTACATAATCCCAGCATGTAATATTCTAATTAGTGGTATGGAAACATTACAAAAGGATGGAAATATTCATGTTGCTTTACTAGGCTTACCTAAAAATGGGTACAGGTGATGGTTGATACCCCAGAGCCTTTAAAAAAGTCATTGGCTGGTGATGTTTTTCTGCAAAATGTTTTAGTTAATGGGTGAAATACAATTTAGGGATTAGGGAGAGACGGATATCCGCCTCTACCTAGCCACATTGTATGTTGTAATGCAATTTAAAAATGATCAGAATCATTATATGTGTATCATTCTGCCACAAATCAAACAAGTATGTGTCCAGCATGTTTGCATACTTGTGCAGAACACGGCAAAAATGAAATAACAATAATAATGATTAAATAACGTTTCTCATCATGTGTTTGATTCTTCATATTATGATCCTATCTTAAATTTAGACCTATTCTCATGAAAAAAGAAAGAAAAACAGTGTAGGCTACAGACATTTATTGAAAAAAATGTTCTATTGTTCTTAATTTTGACACGTTTGGAAATCTGATCAATCAAAAATATTAATATCTAAGGGTTCACTTTAGCTCTCGTCTCATAAATCCCTTATCAATTGTGCAAAATACTACAGCTTTTAGATTTAATTCAACATGTATCTAAGCTGAATATTTGAACTAAGATGTGGTGCTTTTTTAAAAATAATGGAATCTATGCAGATAAAGGAAAAGGTTCTAGTAAAAACAAGACACTTTTGTAGAGGAAAGGCACTAAAGTGACCCTCTTGTTGACAGAATGACGTTGAAAATAAATCCCCAAGTAAGTAGAGATTACACAAGTTTCCACTGAAAACATTTTCTGGCAGATTTACATGAATTTAGTTTTTGTGTTTATTTTAGTCTATAGTCTAAGAGGTAGAACAAAATTCTGTAAACTGTCCACTTTTACGTTTGTGCAGACAATCAGAAATATAGTTTAAAATTACAATATAGGAATCAGGTTATAAAGTCGCTTCTTATCTGGAACAGCACAATGGATATCCCATAAATCCCTGCCACAGTGAGCTGTTTGTTGGTTCGCAGTGTATAAAGTCAATCATGTTAATGTTCTGAGCACAACCCTGTTTTGTTGGTAGCACACAGTTTTAATAGCTTCGAGTTCCAGATATAAATGCAAAGGAAAAATTGAAAAAGACAGGTTCTTATTTGAACCTGTTCGGAAATCTTCTGCACGCTAATCAGTTTGGGTTTTTGCAGTCTGGAGAATGCAACAATCTTTTTAGACAGTAGATAGTACATATCCTATGAGCTGTGGCTGTCTTGTTAGCGTGCTAACTGTTTGTATGTGTTTGAAAGTTTAATATTAGTCCTCAAATTATTGGTTTATTGAAGCGTAGTGTCATTGACTTATGTAAAATTAACTTGTGCCTCCAATAGTTCAATTATGGTCTGATAAAAAGACCATAATGCCACACTGACAAGTAATTTAACTTTTTCTATGAGTATCTAGTGATAAGATAAAATTAACACTTATCAAAGTCAAAAACGATCATTTCTGGATAACTCTTCAACAGTGTGACAAACAGCTGCAATAATTTGAATCATATTGTTATGAAAAATTTCCATTACAACAAAAAAATTCAAATCACAGAAAGCCCTTTGAGTTTATTTTGGGTTCTAGAAAAATATTAAATATCTTAATGTAAATCAGCACTGAAGGAACAGTCTATCATTTAAATTTTTTGGTCAGATTTGTATAGTAGAATATTTTAATATATTTTAACAGGGATTTGCTTTAAATAACAATCAGGAAGAAATGTGGTCAGAATGACGGCTTTGCTAGATGAACATCTCAGCTAAATGTGCTAGCTTGTTGAAAGTTAAGCTTGGAGTTTTGCAACAAAACCAAGGCGTTTTTCCTAAAACGGTTCAATAGCTCGATTGAAAATGAAAACATAAAATATCCAAGCCATATTTATTGTGTTTTCTTGTTGAGTTGAAATCGAGATTAAATTATAGCTTGTGCAGGAAAACGCAAATGCTTTTAAAAAAGTGAAATAAGAAAAAGGAACAGTAAATGAGCTTTTTGGAAACCGTTGAAACATTGCTTAGCTGGTAAACCAGTCAGACATCAAGTACAGCCATTAAATCGAGGCCAAAACGGTCTAGGTGAACTCATGTCAGTGGCCGGAGAGGCAGCAGCTGGTTTTATGCAGTTGGTTTTGTACCCAAAATGAGGGCTAAAACCGAGACAGACAGTAGCACAGAGACTGTGGGTTTTCCTCAGCATGTTATTTAAGTATATGTACTTTCTGTAATGCCCTACTTTTAAACTGCTGAGTCATTAAACTGTGTGCATACACAAGATGGGTAGGTTCTCCGTTGAAGCCCACAGAAGGCTGCACACCAAGTAGCACCATCGTAACAAAACAGAGACTCGACAACAGATCAGCAGAACAACAATTAAAAAGTGAAATAGTAGATATTCCAGAAAAATGACTTTGTATTTTAAAAATGCCAGATGTGCAATCTATGCCACATCCAGCTACAGTTGTTAGCCTCTTGTCGCTTTAGCAGGATACAGTACATTAATGAAGACAACAAACTTCCCGAATGAAGGAAGTTTGTGTGTTTTAGAGAGTCTGGTTTTAGTGTGACAAAATATAAGACAGATAATCCAACAGACCATTTGAATAGCAAATCCAATATATAAAAAAGGACATGGCAAGGTAATGGACTCAAGATTCGTGTATAAAATTATTCAGAGTATATTTTTTATATCTTGTCCAACATCATATTTCTGCTATTTGCAACCAATCTTTGTGACTTTGCAACAGTTCTGTTCGTGTTGATTTATGCTGCCCATTATGTCCAGCTGTTGCAGGAAAACGAACTCTGTGGTCCATCTTATAGTTAACTTAGTATTTCATCTTCATTTATTTATATAGAAAATCAATTTATGGATCTGTTTCAAATAAGTTAAAACTTCAGATATTTAAATATTAAAAGTCATATTTTGCCGATTAAAAAAAAGGTTTAAATAACTTTTTAAAAATCCTGAAAGAGATTCCAGGTTTGTTGTAATGCTATGAACCAATTCAGTGAGCTTTATTAGTAAGAAAGATAGGTGTTGGTGTATGTTTGTGACAATAAGGATACTCTGATATCTCGACTTTGACAGCGGCCAGTTAGTGTGTCTGTTCCAAGTATCTAAATATGGAGTTCACTGCCTTGCAAAAGTATTCATACCAATCGCCCTTTTTCTTTCTTTTTCTTTTTTTTTTTTTACCAACCTATAACTTTTACTAAAGCTAGTAAAAGTTCATGATGGAGAAAATTTCAGGAAAATCCTGAAGGTACAAAAGACTTGAGACTGTGGTTGAGGTTTACCCTCCAGCAATCATGAACATGCAACCAGAGCTACAATGGATTAGATGAATGTAAATATATGGTCAAGGAGTATGAATACTTTTGCAACGCGGTAGTTTATTTTTCCCAACCGTGTGATTATGATCCCAAAAGACGTTTTGATTTATTAGTAAAACTGGAATGCCTTTAATTTCTTGCTCCCAACATTGGCTTGGGCAATCTGGAAAAAACAAAAACAAAACAAAAAACAAAACAAAAAAAAAAACATAATAAATAAACATTACAAAAATTACATTAACAAAAAGGATCCCGGTTTAACTTAACAAGGAGGAATGATTCCCAAAGTGTGTCAGAACAGAAGCCATTTCAAGATGGCGCACAGCAGATATGTACATGTGTTTACCAGGTTGTTGCTCTAATGTTAAAGGATGACAATACAAGTCTATCTCTGGCCGTCTGCTTCAAAATAAAGACATAATTTCTATCATCGAAGGTCAAAGTCATGGCTTTCATTTCACCCACTTTGTCTGTATTTGCTGCCATTATTCATTAAGAAAGACGGCACCAGAAAACCAAGCCATAAGGTTTGCTCTCCAGGAACACTGGTTCAACATTGGTCTCTATAATCATTTCTATGGTTTCATTTTTTGAGCCGTTAGGTACCTACATTCTTCATTTTAGTTCAAATCTGGTCTTCATGAAACGCACGGCCCAGTGGTTTTCAATGTCTTCCTGTGCTAATAAGACACGGCGTATACCACTCTGCTATGTGTCATTAAGATGTGGCATTTTTTTTTTATCTGTGAAGTCAATTGTGCAAAGCAATCCGACACTGCATGGCGTGTTAAGTGCAGGTCCAACACTGTGAAATCATCGAAACATTTAATTGTGTCTCGGTTTGCAGACCGGCCGTCTCAGACCAGCCAGAATGTGTGTGTGTGTATATATATATATATATCTATATATATATATATATCTATATATCTATAGATATATCTATATATATATATATATATATATATATATATATATATCTATAGATATATAGATATATATATATATATAGATATATATATATATAAAATAATAAAAATAATAAAAAACTGCTTTTGTTTCATACCCCCCAAAGTAACACATGATATCTAAAATAACTGCTCATTAAACAGCATGATGGTGGTAACATTATAGTGAATGTGTAGTATTAGCAGACTGATTGTAGTACCTGTTACTCTGATAGTTGGAGGTTGTGTTTTGAGTCCTGACATCATCATCATCATTATTTAACCTGTTGATTGGTATCTGTAGTGTTAGATGGCAGTTCTGGTTTCAGTCCTGCTGGTAGGTTTGGGATGCTGGCGCAGTCCTTGGCATCGGTCGCACGTCTAGAAACCGGAGTGGCGTCTCCGGTGTTCTGATTGAGAGAAGGTGGCAGTAGCTTTGTGTGGGAGTCCGGGGGAGGGGGCAGTTTGCGCTGTGTGCTGAGGCGGTGTGTTAATGTTTGGCAGTGGGCCTGTGTGCGTGGCAGGTTCTAGGTATTTGTGTGCATTTGGTGCTCTGGGAGGTGCGGGGAAGCGTTTCCAAGGCAGTCGTGTTTGTGAAGAAGTGAATTTCCTCCGTGCGCGTCTTCGCTGGGAGGCTCGTCACTCGTTGCAGGCGTCTCCTTTCTCCTCGGCTCCAGCTGGAGAGTCCTGCGGACGGTGCTTGCAGTGGCGAACGGCTGCTCTGGACGATCGGACAAAGCAGGAGGACGGAGTAGCACAATCGCAAGGTGCCTCCTGGGAGACAGAACAAAGTCACTTCATGCCCACATCATCGTGCCATGGTGTACAGAACCTTGGAAACGTGTTCATACCGATTTAACCTTTGCACATTCTGTCATGTTATAACCACAGACTTTCATGTACCGTCATATTCAGTAAATCAGAATATATACGTCTCAGTGAGTCTCATTTGTCAGATTAAACGTATCTTTTGAAAATAATAACCTTTAAGCAGCAAACATGCTTTTCATTAAGCACACGTTCTCTGTTTTTAATAAAGTTTTATATTGCTCTGATGTGATGATCTGATTTTAAGTGCCATGTTTTCATTAACTATAAGTGGAAAATGACTGTAGTTAGCAGAAATAAAAGCTTCCAAACACCCGTATGTGTAATTAATCTGTATGAAATGAGAGGCTCCTGAAATAAATGGGCCGTTCATTAATATTCTAATTTTTTGAATGACTCTGCATTTTACTGGTTAGACCAACAGAACAAACTAAATAGTTGTGCTTTAGAATGAAAATGATACATGGATGTTTAAAAATTACAGCTGAAACTCTTGGGTTATCTCTGCACCTGCTTTTCATGTTGAGAAACTCAAACTTTTGCCTTAACAAATCACCCCCTGCTGAATCAGACTGGATATACATCATTTCAAGAGGAGTTTTCTAGTCTTTGCAAAGTTGACTTAATGCATTGATCTAAACTCTTTTGTTGTAGCCTTGGATGTGTTTTTGCCTTCCTTTTACCACAGGTCTTTTGACTGGTGCTGTAATCAATGCTCTCCTCCTCCTGGCAGTTCAGGCCTTCATACTGCTACCATTTTCAGTAAACACATTAAGAGCACTTTTAAAGCTTTCTTTCTGATCAGTCTACTGTATTTCTTGGTCTTTGTGATGCTGTTAGTTCACTGATGTCCTCAAACACACCTCTGAAAACTTCACAGAACAGCTGAATTCATACTGAGATTACACTACACTCAAGTGGACAACAAGTACTTATTCCATGACTTTCGAAGACAATTGGTCAAAGTGGACTTTATTAAAGGAGATTTACCACATTTAGATTTTAAGTCCCTCTATAATAGGCTGAAGTTTATGGTTGTAATATGATACATTTTAACATGTAGTAAAAAACTACAAACTGCCGTTTCATTTAAAAGCACAAACCTCGGTTCCCGGTCCTGCAGCCACGCTGTTGCTCGTTGCTTCCTTCCCTCCTCCCATGATGCTGATCATCTCCTCCCCAGCCGTCTGCCTCAGAAACCGCTTATTAACAATCCTGGTCACGCTGTCGTTGCCTCCGCTCAGTCCAGCCAGCGCAGCAGCCCCTCCGAGTGTGGGTTCGTCCACGCTGCTCAAGCCACCCAAGACCCCCACGCCTCCGAGGACAGCGAGGGAGTCTCTCTGCACTCTCTCCACAGACAGGGGGGCTCCAACCGGGCCGCGGCTGTTGCACACATTCCTGAAGAACTCCTGCACCAGCCCTCCATACCGCTGAGGGTTGGAATCGGAGCCGCAAGCAGGTTTTCCGGCAGCGTGAGGCTGCCGAGCCGGGCTGGCCGTCTGGCTTGACCCTATAGCAGCGCAGGGATCACAGGTTTGGATTATCACCAACAGGATTAACTGAAGTTACTGTGGGTTTAAGCCAGAACAAAACGACAAGACGTTTGGGCTTTTTTCTGTTCCATCAAATTACGATGTTTCTCAGTTTGTTCTTATGTAAGTGTTAGTGCAGGGATTGACCCTTTGCTCGTGATGTCAACGTCTTCACGTACCACTCCACCACTACGGATGTCAAAACAGCCGATGTGCGAGTAAACTCTTGTAAAGCTTGTCAAAAAACAGACAGTCGAGAGCCTAATATCTCTTTTATTTAGATGATTTCACTTTAAAAATGGCTCTAGGGTTCTGCACAGTTGGCTGGACAGACAGACAGATATGGATGCAACCAAACTTGCCATTTTATTGTAAACCTTTGACAAGATGTTGCAGTGTAGCGTAGTTACCCATCTATTCATTAGTAACCATGGAGAAAATGCTCCGCCTTGTACAAATAAACTTTTGCATGCTTTTAAGTCTGCTTCGGTGTTACGGGAAAACGCCGTTTATAACATAGTGGTATAAATCATGGGGCGTGAAACCGGCTGATTAAACAAACAAATATGTCAGGAGAGGGAACGTATGGGTCGCTTTCTAATCTAGCTTTATCCAACGTTTGTAAGTGCTGCCATGCATGAGCCCCAAATAAATCTGTGTTACTTCGGCAAGACAAATTAGCTCGACTTGAACAAGTGAAAGCCGTGGCTATACAGGCAAAAACAACTTGGAAAAACAATCCCTCACTTCCAACGTCGGTCATGGCGCCTCAATGTGATTGGGTGGCATATTTTGCAATACTTGAAAGATGACAGATTTACAGACCTAGATTATGCATCTCACCTATTTCACTCCTCCAAAGCGACTCTGTGCTTCCGGAGTGCTCCACTACGCTGAAGAGGCTGGAGAGGCCGTCGGTGAGGCCGTTCAGGACGGGGCTGTCCCTCGTCGTAGTGGAGCGAGCCCAAGCAGAGCCGCCACTGCCACCGATGGGCCTCTGATGTAGGCTCCACATGCTGCGGTCCCTGCTGGAGGAAGCGCCATCCAGTCTGGAAGTGGAACCTGAAAATAGCGATTTGCTCGATCATTCGTCTAAAAACGCTCCAAAGCGCCAAACGAACTGGGCTCAGAGGGAAGTGAGGAGAAGTTTTACCAGAAGATACTCTCCGCTGTAGCTTAGGCGACCCATACTTGGGCGAACAGCATGGCCTCTCAATGCGGCTGTGCACTTTATCCAGAGATGTAGAAATCTGCCGAGTTCGGGCGGATGCCAGCGAGGAAGTGGTTGCTGGTGTTGGCCGAGGTGACCAGGATTTGGAGTGCAACCCCGTTGCCCTGCTGGTCTCTGTCTGCAGTCCGATGCTGACACCCTGAGCTGCAGTCTGGGTGGACTTGTTGGACACTCCAACGGGCTGAAGGAAGTTTAAAATGTTTCGGATTAACCTTTTTACCTGGACTTTTTTCCAGTAGAGCTAAGTTTGCAATTAGAACACGGAGATCTTTCTGTCTAAATCAAACATTTATAACATGTTTTAATATTACATTTTATTTACAAAGCACTTTTCAATACAAAGACAGGCAAGCTCATTGAGTTTGGCTTCCCTGCTATGAAGTAATAAAGACTAAATTCAACAAAAACAGCAGGAAAATATTACACATTCAAAACATTTACTGGAACGAGAATGGAAATGAAGGAGAGACGATACCTGACTCCCAGGCTCCTTGCTGGATTTCCTCTCCAGAGAAGAAGAGCGAATAGCTTGCCGGACACAGTTAGTCATCTCCTTCATGTCGTCACTCAAGTTGGCAGAAATGTCTCCGATCTCCAGGTCGTGGAAGGGAGAACTGGACGTCATCCCGTCCACCACCCTGTTAGCCGCCCCGCCGCTGACACTGCTGCTGAAAACGCTCGGCATCGACGTGGAAATGCTGCTGCCTCTGCTCTCCAGCAGCTCCCGGTGCTGCTTGGACAGCGAGCTGAGCCACTGCTCATAAGAAGAGGTGAACGATGAGGCGGGTTGTTGGCGCTGAGCATCGAGAGCGTCCAGTGAGGCCACGCCACCGTCCGTGTCATTCTGCTTCAGAGATGAACCCCCGACGCTGTATTCATCAGAATCCAGAGGCTCCTGGTACCTTCTCCGGTGCTCCATACGCCTCACAGCAGGAGGGCTGTAGTAAATACGGATGCCGGTCCGGTCCGGAGCAGTGCAGCTCCTCTGCACAAAGTCCAAGTCCATCTGAGAGGCTGCGGAGCTGCTAGAAGAACCACTTGGACCATCCCAGGTTTTACAAGTGTCAGCCATCTCTGGGGTCTAGACCAGGAGACAACAGCGTAGGTTTAGTAAATGTTCTGACTCAGTGTGTTTGTGAAAGCAGTCACTATAAAAACCTCAACAAAGTTTACAAATTTTAGACCAGCAGCCGTATAAAAACCGCAGTTTCAAACCTCGTTGGTTATGCTGGTCCAGTTCTTCACGGTTACATCCCCAAACTCGGCTCCAGTAAAAAGTGGCATTGAACCAAAATGTGCTTTGTCCTTTGCACAGGAAGATCTGCTACCCTCTGAGTCCTCCAGTGTAGATTTGATCCTAGTCAAAGACGCAGTAACAGAAAAGTTATGTTCAGATGTCACAGTGACAAATTCAGTGTGATCTGCAAAAGTATTCATTCTTCCACATTTGCGACATTCCAAACCGCCCACTTCAGTGTTTGTTAACTTGGATTTTATATAACAGATCAGCACAAAATGTTGATAATTTGTGAACACACACTGATCGTGACTTTTTTTGCGAGTGTTAGGACTGTGGAAAACACTAACGCTGACCTCTTCTGGGTTTATGTTAATGGTTTTCTTTTTGCCTATTTTCCGTGAAAGCTAAATTTGTGGACAACAAACTTTTCCTTTCATTTCTTTTCAAGTTTTTTCATAGGTCCATCTGAGCTGTGGACCTATGCCGCGCCTCCATTCTTTGCCTTGGATTTTATTTCGGGGCATCAGTGTAAAGAGGTCTGACTAATAAATGCACCCAATGCTTATAAAAAAAATACAGTACAAAGAAATCTGACAAAAAGTGAAAAGGATAAAAAAAATATATAAATATCTTTGTGAAGCATCTCTCTTACTTTATCCACCTGCTTATTTGCACGTGTGTAGATATTGTATATTTTTCTTTTTCATACTTTACTTATTTTTTACTTTTTAGGTTTATTTGCACCGTGAAATCATTGAAAAGTCCCAGTGAACTTGTTCAAACAGATTCTGACACTGATTTTGACTTTAACTTAAAGCACTGATGATGAAACGGCCATAAAAAGTGAAGGTGATGACAACTAATGACTTGTTTAAGTACGTGGTAAAGTAAGCATGACTGTTTTTCACTGTCACCTCGGCGATGCTGATCCGTTAACAACACCCGCCGTGTCCACAGTGGATTCGTCACCTGGAGGCTTCGACTGTGAGGGAAAAGAGAAGAGTCACGTTGAAAAGACTTGATCTAGTTTTTGCAATCAACATTTAAACGACCGCCATGACACGTCTGAGCATCACAGCTCCTATAGCATTTCATTGTGAGCATGAAGTTGCCAGTCGCCTCCTTTGGAGTTTCTAGAAGTGAACTCTACAATCAGTCTGTGGCAGATCGAGGTTAAACACGGATAGCTATGCTGAGTCGGTGGTTTTTGCACTGGAGGTGAGATCTGAAGCTAAGAAGCAATTTCCCCTGTGAGCGGAGGAGGAGAAGTGGAAGAAAAGGACATCTGCAGACGCTGTGCCTATAGCTGCACTGACAACCTTTTTTTACTCTCACTGGCAGCACTGTGCAGCCCGAACTATCCGAATAAACAGAAATCTAAATGCACAGCAGGTGCCTTTAATCTGCAAAAATACTTATGTGTAAAAATCAAAAACTGAAGTAGAGTAACTGACCGTCTTTGTTCTGCTTAAGTGTAATAAAGCAAGGATTACACTAAGTTGCCTGTTGGTGGCGCTACAACTGCATCCCAAAAGCTTGAAAAGGTTCAAACAAATGACGCATTCATAAGACTTGAGGAAGGCAGAGAGTGATAAACGCTGCTATCAGAGTGGCTGAGACAAAAAGCTAAATGACGAGCTGAATCTCCTCCCAGTTCTCCTGCACAGGCCTGGAGCGAGACAGGATGACAGCAGAGAGGGGGAAGGAAGACGACGGAGACAGACGCGGAAGTGGAAAAAGCGAATGAGTGGACAGGAAACGGGGCGGGAGAGGAGGGGAGCTCTCTGCAGGCTGAGAACTTCAAAGATGACAGAAAGGCCTTAAATGCACCTCTGGGGTTTGAGTCAGGCACAGAGAAAATCCCTTTAACCTTAGAATCCCCAGAAGGTCGCAGCCCGCCGTCAGCCCTCACTGACATGTTGCAGCAGATATGAGTGGCCATGTCTTTCTGCTGAGCTGAACTTTTACAGAAGGATCCAGAGTTGGATGGTA